TTCAGAGTAAATTTGAAACATATTGACAATGTTACAGAAAAACCATTACAAATAAAGCATATATCAGCTTTATTTTCCTGCATAAAGTTGGCATATCTTCAAAGACAATTTAAATAGCTTTAACTTGTGAGCCTCTATTTAAAGAAATAACTCAAAAAAAAAAAAACATTAGCTTAATAGCTTCACAAATACTAACGCTGGAAAATGAGCCAGAGGACTAAACCAGAATTTAGTTTCAAACCAAAACAACTAACTAGTTTCATAAATCTTACCTGGACAATTTGCAGAGTTTTTTTATAGTCTAATTCAGCTTTCACGGTTCTCTCCTCGTCGTATCTCTCAGCACACCGATTGTGGTGCTGCTGCAGTGTCCGCAGTGTTGAGGCATGCATTTAATGCAACATTAGTTGAAGGTGAGACTCCAGGTGTTATATTGTTTGATTGCCACCCACTTCTGAGCTGCCCTGTCTGTGCCCTTTTAGAGACACAGGCAGTATTGCATGAATTCAGCTTAAGCAGTATTTAATCAGAGCATGATACTTCATTTTATGGCATTTTTGCATGCATATGATAAAATAAATGTAGATAATGGCCAATCACAAAATTTCCCAGCCTTAGTCAATCAGAAAATTGGATTGTGTCTCCTCTCTGTAAATCAAATTTTGACTGCACCACCAGATAGGGGGCACAAGAGCACAAGCTGGCACACATTTTTCTGACTTTACTCTCTGTATGTGGACATCTTCTGAAACTTAGCTCATTCTTTAAGATGAAAGGAGCCTATCCTAGCATTTTCCTTGTGTGGACCACCCAAAAGGTCCACAGAAGAAGAAATGTCCACACAAGAAAGGTGTTCCGTCAGGGGTTGATTCGCATAAGTATATAAAGACAAACCCACACACACACACGTTCTCTCTCGCAGTGAAAAAGTAGACCTCTTCCAGCAGCAACCCAGCCCCCACTTCCCCACAACCCCTGTAGCTGTCTACTCCTTGAACTCCAACTCCCCCCCACCATCCTCCCTACCTCCCAACCTCTTGTAGCCCGTTGCCATGGAAGCTGATTGGAAGGATCAGTCTGTCTCTCCAGCACACTGCCGCACCATCATTGCCAGGAGAAAAGCAGATGATTCAGAGCATAGCACAAAATCAGCTGAGGTCAGGTATTAATTGTTGACAATAATAATAAATAACATAGCCAATAAAACACCTGAATAATCAGTTTTTTAATTTACTTTTGAAAAATGCAGTTATCTTTTCATTGCACTGCTTACATGTTCAATTCTGAACATGTTAACTTCTTAAAGACATCTGCAATGATAAACATGCCAAACACCTGATTTATGCTGTGATGTGTGTTTTGCCCTTAGGTTTCACAGTCAAGGACATTTCACTCCACACACCAGTAGTTCCAAACTAATTAATAAAGCTCCTCACTGCAGAGAAAGAGAGCAGAGAAGAATATACAGCTGCTGCAGATCTTAATGCACTGCAATTATCTTCCACCTGACAGATAATTTTAGACTATTTTTTCATTTGGAACTACTAGTTACCATAAATCCATCATTTACAAGTGCAATTTCAACACAAAGGATTCCATAATTATAAGGACTTTTGAGTAGGTCATGAAGTTTTTAAACTAATTCAGGAAAATTACTGTGTCCACATGCTTCCTCTGTGCTGCATTCAGAATTGAAAAATAAAATGCTGACAGATGAAGGCAACGGCCTTTAACACACTTTGTGTACAGTACACAGCCTACAAACTGAAGGCTAAGGCTCTTGGTACCTTTATTTCATATATTTTTTCAACCAAGCACTACTATAAAGAGAAGACTGAACATTCAGGGTCTAGCATTGCTATAGCAATGACGTTTGGGGGATTGTGAGTGGGGGTTGGGTGGTCAATCATCTATTTCTGAAAGAACCTATGCATTTTGATGCTAACCTTCCAAAGTCCTACATGTATTATATAAGTATCGTTTCTTGAGCAGACAACAACAGCAAAATAGCAGAAATAGCAATTAGATGTTCAGGGGCATTGAAATATACAGCAAAAATGATTTTTTTTAAGTATTTTAATATAAAGTCAAAGTTGCTGTTATTGGACTTTATTCACCCTTACTTATATTATATGCTTTTTCAGTCCATGTGTTAGCTTTAAATTCACTGAACAATGATCTATGCCTTATGTAATTTTTAAGGTGGACCGGAAAATTCCAATAAGAGGCTGCAAATAAACAATGTTGAAAAAAATCTATTCTAATGAACTGATACTGTAGTAATTCAGCTGGTTATTCCTCATAACCCAGCGTTGCAATAGCTAAGCATTATGCAGAATTAAAACCAAGCTAAAGTGCGGCTAAAGGTAATACTAATAAGTGATAGCTTCATACCTTAGAAGGAAATAGTATTTGCCATTTCGATTTTTGACTTTTGTAGAATTTGTGGGATTTAGTCGGGTTGAGCTATTTTTAAATCACATATTTAAACTGTATTAAATTGTAAATTATTATTTTACTGATTTCAATATCAATACAGTAGTACAGGTAGTACATATTATAGTAGATGGACAGATACTGTACCTACCAAAACAGAGCTGTGAACCAGGGGCAGACCTAGGTGGCCCATTTGAAATACATGTGAAGAGTAAATTAAACCCCTAGTTCTATGAAATAATAATACATACATTATTTAGAATCAAAATGATTAATGCAAACATCAGACTGCGCGCATGATATAAAACAAAACTAACTTGAATGATCCCCTCCCAGGAACCGACACCTTAACGTGGTGGAGGGGTTTGAGTGCCTGAATGATCCCAGGAGCTATGTTGTCAGGGGCTATATGTCCCTGGTAGGCCCTCCCATGGTCCTGGGTGACAGACCAGACAAAGGGCAGTTCATAGGCCACTTATGACGAAAAAAAAATCATGGCTCACATTTACCTCATCTGGTATGGGGTCAACGGGGCCCCACCCTGGAGCCAGGCCTGGGGGAGGAGCTCATGTGCGAGCGCCTGGTGGCCAGGACTATACCCACGGGGCCTGGTTGGGCTCAGCCCGAAACCACAACATGGAGCCACTCTTCAGTGGGCCCACCACCTGCTGGAGAGGCCGTAGGTGGCTGGTGCATTGTGTTTTGGGCAGTGGCCAGGCCGACCCAAACCTCAGACACCAACTCTGGTTTTTGGGACTTGGAATGTCACCTCACTAGTGGGGAAGGAGGCTGAGCTGGTGCAGGAGGTTGAGAGATACCTTCTAAATATAGTTGGGCTTACTTCCACTCACAGCTTGGGTTCTGGAACCATTCTTCTCGACAAAGGGTGGGCCCTCCTCTATTCTGACGTTGTTCAGGGGGAGAGGCGATGGGCTGGTGTGGGCTTGCTTATAGCCCCCCAGCTCAGTCGTCAGGTGTTGGAGTCTACCCTGGTGGATGAGAGGGTAATTTCCCTGCACCTTCGGGTCGGGGAATGGTCTCTCACTGTCATTTGTGCTTACACACCTTTTTAGCATCCCTGGGGGGCATGTTAGAAAGTGCTCCCACGGGGGACTCTGTCCTTCTACTGTGGGACTTTAACACCCATGTGGGCAACAACAGTGATACCTGGAGGGGCGTGACTGGGAGGAACAGCCTCCCTGATCTGAACCCGAGTGGTGAGTTATTGGATTTCTGTGCTAGTCATGGTTTATCCATAATGTACACCATGTTCAAACATAGGGGTGTCCATCAGTGCACATGGCACCAGGACACCCTAGGTTGGAAGTCGATGATCGACTTTGTAGTCATTTCCTCTAATCTTCAGCCATATGTTTTGGACACTCGGGTGAAGAGAGGGGCTGAGCTGTCAACTGATCACCACCTGGAGGTGAGTTGGATTTGATGGCGGGGAAAAAAGCTAGACAGAGCTGGCAGGCCCAATTGTATAGAGAGGGTCTGTTGGGAACGTCTGACGGAGGCCCCGGTCAGAGAGGTCTTTAACTCCCACCTCTGACAGAGCTTCAAACAGGTGCTGAGGGAGACTGGGGACATTGAGTCCGAATGGACTATGTTTCTCACCTCCGTTGTCAAGGTGGCTGCTGGGAGCTGTGGCTGTAAGGTCCCCAGGGCCTGTCGCGGTGGTAATCCTCGAACACGGTGGTGGTCACCGCGAGTAAGGGATGCCGTCAAGCTGAAGAAGGAGCTCTATCAGGCCTGGTTGGCTCATGGGACTCCTGAAGCAGCTGGCAGATACCAACAGGCCAAGCAGAATGCAGCCCTGGTAGTCACCATGGCAAAAACTTGGGCCTGGGAGGAGTTTGGTGAGGCCATGGAGGAAGACTTTTGGTTGGCTTTGACTTCAAAGAGATTGTGGAGAACTGTCTGGTGGCTCAGGAGGGGAAGCAGTGTTCTGCCAACACTGTTTACAGTGGAGGTGGTGTGTTGCTGACCTTAACTGAGGATGTCATCGGCTGGTGGAAGGAGTACTTTGAAGATCTCCTCAATCCCCCCCGACACGCCTTCTGTAAAGGAAGCCAGGGCTGGGGACTTGGGAGGGGACTTGTCCATTACCCTGGCTGAAGTTGCCGAGGTAGTTGAGGAACTCCTCGGTGGCAAGGCTCCAGGGGTGGATGAGGTCTGCCCCAAGTTTCTCAAGTCTATGGGTGTTGTGGGGCTGTCTTGGCTGGCACGCCTCTGCAGCATTGCGTGGAGCTCGGGGACGGTGCCTCTGGACTGGCAGACCTTTTTAAGAAGGGGGACCGGAGAGTGTGTTCCAACTATATCAGAATCACACTTCTTGGCCTCCCCAGGAAAGTCCATGCCAGGGTACTAGAGAGGAGAATCCGGCCAATAGTCAAAGTGAACTATTAAAAAGTACATTATCAAAATAAAATTTATTAATTTTACCAGCCAACCTGAAGGCTTGAAAGTTTTTTCCCCCTCAAACGGTTCTGTAATAAAGGTCTGTTTTTGTACTCATTCCTCTATTTTATTCATTTATATCCAGGTTATTCTTTGCTAGATAATGTCAATGACCCTTTCAGGTTTCATAATATTTTTATGCACAAAGCCACAGTCATTGTCTCTTTTTGCTCTGATCTTCTGTCAATTAAAATTTTAAATGAGCATTATCAAAAAAGAAGGAACATTACAAACTGTATTACAAATACCCTGCAAATTTATCACTGTTAGGAATAAAATATCAGGCCATGAAATTATGGAAAAACTCCACTTAGTAGAAAGTATAGCTTAATACTGTATATTTATGTCAATAACTCTCTTGTAGACTGTAGAAACGAGGCATTTCACGTAGCAGAATATATTCTTTCCACCCCCATCCCATCACATCCACCACCAGATCTACAATCCCCCCACCCATTCTCTCTGTGATCTTGAAGAGCTTGCTTCACCCCAGTCAGGCTCCAGCGCTCCAGCCGGCAGCAGTATCGAGCTAACAAGTCTTTGTGAGGAGCAAGAGAAGGAAAGGAAGGAGGGGTGCAAAGTAGGAGAGAATCACATGGTGAGAGAGTTGACAGTATAAGCATAGGATGAGGGTGCAGAGGGAGAATGCATAAGACAGTGACAGAGGCAAAGGTGCTCAGTACTGCACAATAGTGCCAGAGGCTGCTAGAAAGAGAGAGAACAGGCATCATGGCAGCGCTCACTGCATCATTACGACACATGGGGATGTTTGGCTGCTGCTGGTGAATGCTGTGTGATGCAGAGAGTCGAGGACTTCCTGGAAACCAAAGGCAAACCAAGGAACCAGGTCAGTGACGGTCAAACTCACTCGTAAAAAGCCTTCATGCACGAAGCAACGACGCTATTGTGAGGTTTAATCATGTCATAGGATGATGCTGATATGCATTTGTCAATGAGAATTGCACTGCTAGTGTTTGGGATGTGGACATCCATAAGGAGAGGGAGGTTGCCCATGCATGCAGACATGTGAGCATGCTTGTACTTGTAACGTGTGCGCAGGTTTACTGCTCTAAATGGCACTGGTTATGAGAGCTCAACCGGGGATATTTAGAGGAAGGAGGCAGGAGCACGCAGCACAGGAAATTCTCCTGGATCCAAGAAAATCTATAACACCCCATATGACATAAAATATATAGAGACATGTTATGTAGTATGGCATGTTCACCGTTTCTCCAACTACAGATCTTGTTGTTTTTACATTTATTTCTGGAAATGCAATACAGAACTGAATACCCAGCAGGCTGTAAATAGAAGACAATAAAGAGAAAGGGAAATAATGGTAAGACAAAATCATTTAAAAAGGGTAAGAAGTAAAAAATAAGATATGGAAATGAAAATGAAGCAGCAAAGGATATGCCATAGAGGAAGAATTATACAGCAGTAGGTAGTAAGAGAAGGAAAAGGAAGACAAAGCCAGTCATAGAGAAAAAGCTTGGCCCAGCATTCAGCTCTGCTGCATATGATGTAATCCTCTACCAGTCCAAGTAGTCAGCTTTAACAACCCTGTCCAGAGGCAACACATTTTACAAATTTTAAATCTAAATATTAACAAAATGCAGGGGGCTGAATGAAGCCACACTTCCAATTACCACTGTAGGAGAGAACTTATCACGCTATCCACAAAAGCAACCAATGGGACAAAAATATCAGTTCATCACAATCTTAATGAGCTCAATACTTCAGTTGACAGTATTTACCCTGTACTTTTGAAGCATCACAAAATTTGGCGAGGTCACCTAACAACACATAATGGAGTGGTGCCAAGTATTTTTATGAAACATCCCAAATTTGTCCAAATTTCAATCAGAAAAGAGTATTTTCAAGCAATTTACTCAATTGGATAAATTAGGAAAACTCATTAGTACATGTGTGTATATGTGTGTGTGTGTATATGTGCTACATTAGGTTTGAACTTTTTGCATTGCATTCTGCATTGTTTGCACTTTCTGTTTCTTGTAAATGCTGCTTGTTTTTGTTATATTACACAGCCTTATGCTGGTTTACTGTTTGCACATTGAGAACCGATGTACCAGAGTCAAATTCCTCGTGTGTCCAACACACCTGGCCAATAAAGCAGATTCTGATTCTGATTCTGAACTTCTGAACATTACAGTACAAATTGTTTCCAAAAATATAGGATCAAGTAGTTCCTTGCAGTGTCAACTCATTTCTGCTGGTTGCTTTATGGGTTCAATATATAGGTTTGTATTAAATCCTTCATAACTGAGTGGTAGTTCAGTTCATGGTCAGCCTGTGTACTGTAATCAGTTAAATGGACTTAAGATAAAGATGTCCTCCTCCTGTCCAGTCACACCTGCAGCAGGCTTAAGGACTTTGTCTGTTTCATTCCCAAACATTTTTAAGTGGTTGAGAATCAGTTTCAGTATTTACACATGCAGCAGTTACAGAGCAATCTTAACATTCATTTGAAGCTTTGAATAACTTAACTTTTGCCCTGTATGCAGGTGTGACCAGTGGAAGGAACCACATGATGAGTGGGATTCTGAAGAGGAAGCTTGAGGAGGGTCCATCTCCTTACCTCTCCCTGCAGGGGTCTGATGACGACGAGGTTTCCTGTAGCGACAGTGGCAACAGCAGTGACAGTCTGAATCAACCTGTCCCCTCTGGACTGCTGGACTGTAAGATCATAATACCACACAGCTCACATCAACAGCTCCAGCTACTGTATGTAAAAAAAAAAAGTTTGCTTTAATAAATGAATAAAACAGATAAAACAGCTCACATACTGCATGCAGCACTATTTTATTTTATTTTTAATTAATTTCATTTCTCCCTGCCTTGTTATTTCATTGTTTAGCTAATTTTTCATTTTTGCTTTTGCAGTATTTATAGTAAAACAGTAACTGTGTTTATATGTTAGGGTTAAGGTTATACTGTAGATAAATTTTCCTTTAATTATTATAAACATTAAAGCAAGACTGCAGAACTTTTGAAAGACAAAAAAAAACAAACATATTTTCTTAGATTTGTAATGTTTACAAACCTCTGTAGGTATTTCTGCTTAGTCAGTTTGTTGAGTTCATGAAATATCTCCCTAACTCTAACACACAATTTTACCATTATTCTGGAATTAACACCAAAGGTTATACAGTTTCAATCTCTGTCTCAATCTCAGACTCTCTTCAGCAGCAGTCAAAACGTCTGCGGAGCCACAAAGTGCACTTTGAGAGCGTGACAGTCTACTACTTCAACCGGCGGCAAGGCTTCACCAGCGTGCCCACGCAGGGTGGCAGCACCCTGGGGATGTCACCACATCACAGCAGGATGAAGCACTTCACCCTCAGAGAGTTTGCCATGGAGCAGAAATGCAGCCATCGCAACATGCTGAGAGATCATCTCAAAGAGGAGAAATTCAATGCCGTCAAACTCAAGGTCAGTAGGACACCTCAGTGAGACCTCATTTAACTGCAGTGTAAAGGAATGTTTGGTTCAACTGACTTTGTCGAAAGACTCTGCCATCAAATTATAAAAATAAGGCATTAATAATATTCTGCATGCTTTGTAGTCCTTAATGGTCCTGAGGGTTTAAATGTATGTGTAGACAGCAATGTGTAGGTCCAGTCTTAATATAATGTCCTTTCTGTGTCCTCCAGCTAACTAAGAATGGCACTGTGCCATCAGTGGAGGCGGATACCCTCACACTTGATGACATTTCTGAAGACGACCTGGATGTGGACAACACAGAGGTGGATGATTATTTCTTCCTCCAGCCTTTGACTACCAGAAAGCGCCGCGCCCTCCTCCGTGCCTCAGGGGTCCGATGCATCAATGTGGAAGAGAAGCACGAGCTACACGCCCTACGCATGTCCCGAGAGGAGTGTGGGTGCCGTTGCCAGGGGATATGCGACCCGGAAACCTGTGCTTGTAACCTGGCCGGCATTAAGTGCCAGGTAAATGGAACTGTGGTGAGGCCCATCTATAATACTAAAGTGTTTTTCATGTCTGTGTAGTAGAAAGTCCAACTAAATCAGCGTATTCATTGACTTTTTAAAACATATTCTTATTTGGTTGAAATTGTAAAACTAGGATATTTAAGTTTTATTTATTTTTCTGCAGTGACAGCACCTGCTACATTAGGGTGCAGCAAGGTGATGTGGGTTTTTGGCACTGACAGACAGTGATCATACTGGTAATTTGATCAGTTGTAGTATGTGGGCTCAAAGCAGGTCAATTTATCACTTCAATTTGAACAAACTCATAGGCAGTTAACCATCTGTGTGGCCAATTTTGTTAGTTGTAGTGTAGTCTGTTTGTGATTTAAGTGCTTGCTGTGGTGTTTGTGTAGCCCGTGAAGTGCTGGAGTTATAGGCCAACTGGATGCTGTGAGCTTTGAAAGCCAGAGTTTGCAGCAGCTGCTGATGACTCAGCATGTGCTAAAAGAGCAGCTTGTTAGCCCAGTTTGCTAGCTCGCACTTTCTGAGTAGAAAGCACATCTCCCACAGAGGAGCAATATACATTATGCTACTACTGTTCCACACTGTTGTATTTGAGTATTATTTTTCTATGTAGGTGGACCGCATGTCCTTCCCTTGTGGCTGCACTAAGGAAGGCTGCAGTAACACCACAGGACGCCTGGAGTTTAACCCAGTCCGAGTGCGCACCCACTTCTTGCACACCATCATGAAGCTGGAGCTGGAGAAGAGCCGCGAGGAGCAGCATCAGCATCAGCAGCAGCAGCTTGTAACCAACGGCGACGGTTACCATAGTGACTCCTCCTTCATCCACCAGGCACAGCAGCCAAACCAGCAGTTTCCACTGATGAGCGGCACGCCGCACATTCCCATCATGCACCTCCAGAACACAGGCGACATGGATTCACATGTAGATGAAGATGAGGAAGAAGAGGAGGAGGAGGAGGACGATGATGAAGAAGATGAAGAGGATGAGGATGATGAGGCTTACGAGGAAGATGAGGATGGCAGCAGTGTCTGCAGTGGACTGTCGGACTGCAGCACACACAGCTTAGAAACAATTGACCCTGAGGAGGGAGAAGAGGATGAGGAGGATGAAGAAGATGAGGAGGTGGAGGAGGAAGAAGATGAAGAGAAGGAAGACTGGGATTGTTTGTTTCACGGAATGAGTCATCCATCTTACTCGGTTCCACTTCCTTCTGTTCTGAGTTATTCTAACAATACACTCATGAGCCTCAGCAACCCGTTGCACAACACTCCCTCCATGCAGCATTATCAAACAAACAGCTCTGTAAATGACACTCCAGCTTTTCTTAGTGAAAATGTGACAGTCACACCCACACTGCCTACAGTAGAGGCTGCACTGAAGTCCGAAATAACCAGAGAATTCTGCTGCCAAACATTCACCCACTCCACAGAGTCTCTGACACCCCAAACCTGCTCACATGTAGACACCCGTGAGTCTAACACTGCCCCTGTTGGTTCAGCTGACAAACAGCCGCTCTGCACAGACCTCCAGAACAATCCAGATCATCAGAACTCACAGACCGAGGCTTTGGCTGTGGAGCAGACAAGGGAGGAAATGAGAGAACAGTTACAGGAACAACCAGGACAGCAAATGCAGGGAGCTCTGTCTGATTAAAAGACTGACACCTCTGTCTGAGACTGTGTCTGATGATTCAAACACTTCAGAGAGGGAGCAGGTGATATTTGGAAATCTTTACTCAGCCATCAGTTTGATTTATTCTTGATAAGTGCACTTCCAAAGAAAGAACAAGTCAGGCAGATTTTGACACAAAAGGTGGCAAGAGGTGATCTAATTTTAGCTCAGTCTGTCTCTAACCTTTCTAAGATTGTTGGTTTAGAAAAAAGACTAAAACTATAAAATATTCATTGATAAAGCTCAATAAAACAGTGTTTCAGTTACCTGTAACTATATGGAGTATAATTTTTTACCCTGTTGTAGTCTTTGATCATTATAGCATGTTTTCCGGTTGTAACTGGCATCTATGATGTGTATAGGTGCTTTCACTACTTTCCATTATGCTGGTTTCTCATCATTGCTAATGCCTGTTTGTATAGCATGTGCTCAGTTTACCTAAGATGTTTAAAGGTTTACACAAACTGTAAAATGATAAATTATATCACTGGCAAAACACTAGAAATGCCTACAACACATTAGTTCATTAAAATTCACGCTAAAGGTCTTTTCCCCCTCAATTTTTAGCCATGGTTCTGTAGCACCTTAGCTAGCTATTAAGTGAAATCTACATTATGTTCCCTTAAAATGGCTATGATACATATTTTATATTAACACTGGATTACATTATTATGTGAATGTGCAAGGAGTCTCATAGTAGTGATTCCCACTCAACTCTGTAATTCCCCTCCACTTTAAATTACAGAACAGTTTACAGTAACATCTTTCAGCTGACGGGTTTTGTTTTACAGCCAGTAATATCTCTACTGTTTTGGCTAGGCGCTCTCGTAGTTAGAGCAGACAGACATTTTAGCGAAAAGGTCCTGATAAAGCGAATGTAACGTTACAGTAGCTGTTCAGTACTACATACAGGACATAAACAAAGTTAACAACCACCTGGAAAACACTGTGCCACATTAAGCAGCTAATAGGTTACATATATTCCTTATATAGGTATACAGTCAGTGACTTACCTGTGTTTAGTTAGTGGTCACCACAACAGGGCTAAATGGAGAGTACATTCATCATGTGGACATGTCCATAGGACTCCAAATGAATGCTAATGGTTCTCCCTATCCGCTAGTTGCTTCGTTATACAGGCAGCTGTTTCCGCTTCGATTTGCGTTACTTTTATGTTACTATGTTTCTTTTTTTTAACGTTCTGTTTACCAGAACAATATGTGCGTACTAAGTCAGTGCGACTTTACAAATAATGGTCTGGACAACTTCAACACTGACTATTTGGAGGCAAATATTTCATCTAGCACTGTCATTATGTCACAGTTTTAATTTGTCCTACAGTACGAAATACGAAATTCATATTAGCCTCGCTGTAATTTGCATTTAGATAGTGCTAATTAGCAAACGTTAGCATGCTAACATGATAAATTAAGATGGTAAACAAGCCCCTAAACACATAGCATTGTGGAGATGTTAGCTTGCATTTAACCTCTGTTTGAAGCTTCTCACAATGAAAATGTAAGCCACATCATGTGAGCATGTTAAAATGCTGCTTATGTATTTAACAACAGTTTCTCTACTCAGTAGCATCTTGGTGCTAAATGCAGTGGTGGAAAGTAACTAAGTATATTTACTCATACTGTTTGTAAGTTTAATTTTGAGGTATCTGTAGTTGAGAATGTCTATTTTCTGCATTTTAGAAGCAAATATTGTACTTTTTACTCCAATACATTTATTTAATGACTTAAGTTGCTAGTTACTTTTGAGAATCAGATTAGCTATACAAAATGCACTATAATTATCTGACTTTATTGATCCCTGCTGGGAAATTCACAAAATGCCCAATTTGAATTACTTCAGATTATAAGCATACAAGGTAGTTAATGAGTTAATAGGGTGTACCCAATAACACATCATTAGTTATAAATCCAATATTTAATATATGATGTTAGAGGTGCTATTCTGCATATAGGTGTACTTTTACTTTTGGTACTTTAAGTATATTTTGATGCCAGTGTTTTTGTACTACTACTTAAGTACATTTTGAATGCATGCACTTTTACTTTTAACAGAAAATCTTTACACTGTGGTATTGTTACGTAAACTTAAGTAAACAATTTAAGTACTTCTTGCACCACTGGCTACTTGAGCTTAAGTTGCAAATGTTATTTATAATTTTACAGCTATGTGAACAATGTGATAAAACTGCCCTTTTTCCAGTTTTCAGATGAGTTCAGGCTTGTGTCTGAGTACTTGACTTTCTCTCTCAATACTGCCAGGAACTGGGGATCAAATATTCTTGTATGTACTTTTTAAAACAACTGTACATTTCCATGAGAGTGTGAATAAAAATGTTTTAACATCCATCTCATTTTAAATGTGGTTAATTGACTGCATTGTCACACTTTATATGGTAGCTCAGATGAAATCCAGTTTCTCCGAGTAATATATTTTACACCAGCAGATGGCGTCTTTGGCCTTTATCTTCCTTGCCACTGACACCAACATGAGGGGGTTAAATAATTGTTTCTGATGTCAGTAAATCTGTGCATTATTTTTTCCTCCTCAGGACAATCTATGACACTGGTTATCCTGAATAATTTGTCCTCTGACCATAAACAAATGATTTTAATCAGTTGTTCCTCACTGAAAACTAAAAAATACAAATCACCATGCAAGTCAATCTGCAAGGATATTTTGAAGTCAACACTTACCTATGATTTATATTTAAAGGATGCTCGATCTAACTGCTGCCACCCTGCTGTCCCATTCTCATTTAATACTACACCAGTGCTTCCAGTTTAAATTTGTCACATCTTACTGCCTCTAGAGAGCAATGCTGAGTCAACAACCCTGTCTCTGGGTGAGGCGGAGATCAGACAGAAGCAGGAGAAAGCTTTGTTTTCCCACCTCATTGTCCAGCCTATTCATGTATAGAAATATTTTCATAACCACATGACAAACAGGCTCTGCAGCAGGTGCTGTGCACAATAGAGATAAACATACATTCAGTAGTCCTTTATGATCCTCCAACAATGTGCACAGTGTAGGCTGTGCACTGGCTTTCATTAAGAACACAAGGCCATCACTTGACCTCTCCATTTGCTTATACAATTAAACCAGTAAGGCATGTGTCCACTGTGTTGGAGGTCAGGAGCAGGAATTTCCTACCTGCTTTTTTGCCAGCAAGGTATTGTTGGTAAGTGACGCTCCTGATCAATCACAGGCAAAAAGACTGTGATGTTAGGTTACCAGGCAACAGAGAAGCAGGAGCAGCAAAGCATTCTGCGGGGGCTGCCGGGTGGGGGTATTCTCAGCTTTTTTGCTTTGGTCTCCCTCCTGTCTATCCCAACACCACCCACTACCCTTCTCCCTCTTCCAGTGTGTGTCTGTCTGGTCGATAATCTGCCTAATGTGGAGAAGACGACAATAAACTCCGACTATAATGTGTGACATGTAAACATGAGCAAATAAGTTGAATACTCTACACAGTATAGCTCAGTGTAAGCACAAATGGTTTGTTCCTTTAGCAAATTTTAACATTGTATGCCATTATGCAGCCATGCTTCCTCATTCTCTATTGTTTATTTATTTCTCCTGGAGCTTTCAGCCACATTTGATGTCTTTCATCAGCATATTAAGATGGCTCAATTGTCAGGTGGTTGGATAGTTGTGTATGGGATGATAAAGGCTCGAAGTGACTTTTTTTTCTTGTCCCGTTTGGTTTTTAAAGCTCAGGTTACCTGTACCGCCTGAAAAATGTAACATTTACACAGTGAATTTTTGGGTGCATACCACAGACATACTAAAATTTATATTAAAAAGATTTTAAAAAATGGAACCATGGTCAGGTGTAGGGCTAACACTTGATTTTAACTACCTACAGTATTGTTCAAAATAATAGCAGTACAATGTGACTAACCAGAATAATCCAGGTTTTTAGTGTATTTTTTATTGCTACATGGCAAACAAGTTACCAGTAGGTGCAGTAGATTCTCAGAAAACAAACAAGACCCAGCATTCATGATATGCACGCTCTTAAGGCTGTGCATTTGAGCAATTACCGTCAACCAACTTGTGGCACCTTTCAGCTGTTATTCCACTCCATGATTCTTTAACAACATTCCACAATTCATTTACATTTCTTGGTTTTGCTTCAGAAACAGCATTTTTGATATCACCCCACAAGTTCTCGATTGGATTAAGGTCCGGGGATTGGGCTGGCCACTCCATAACATTAATTTTGTTGGTTTGGAACCAAGACTTTGCTCGTTTACTAGTGTGTTTGGGGTCATTGTCTTGTTGAAACAACCATTTCAAGGGCATGTCCTCTTCGGCATAAGGCAACATGACCTCTTCAAGTATTTTGACATATGCAAACTGATCCATGATCCCTGGTATGCGATAAATAGGCCCAACACCATAGTAGGAGAAACATGCCCATATCATGATGCTTGCACCACCATGCTTCACTGTCTTCACTGTGTACTGTGGCTTGAATTCAGAGTTTGGGGGTCGTCTCACAAACTGTCTGTGGCCCTTGGACCCAAAAAGAACAATTTTACTCTCATCAGTCCACAAAATGTTCCTCCATTTCTCTTTAGGCCAGTTGACGTGTTCTTTGGCAAATTGTAACCTCACTGATTGAATGCCACGCTGCTATTTTTTTGAACACACCCCTTTCAACTAATTGCCCAATTGCACAGCCTTAAGAGCGTGCATATCATGAATGCTGGGTCTTGTTTGTTTTCTGAGAATCTACTGCACCTACTGGTAACTTGTTTGCCATGTAGCAATGAAAAATATACTAAAAACCTGGATTATTCTGGTTAGTCACATTGTACTGCTATTATTTTGAACAATACTGTAATTTATAGGATTTAAAGGCTGTATATACACAATTACTAAACAGTTTACAACACACTAATTCTTTATTGTGTTTATTCATGAATTTGTCAACTATGTATCTTGTGAAGCATCTGTAAATGGTGCATAAACAGATAATGAATAGTTAGAAGCTGAATGTAAAAGCTGGAATCATAAAATACATCTCTAACATTACTATGAATATAAAACCTCTTTCCATTGTGTCTCCAGCACCATGAGCACTCGCCTCAGAATGAATGCATCCTGCATGCAATATATGCTTCCCAAAATAGGTTTTATTTTGGAAATCTAGATTTTGTGTTTTGTTGCCACATCTTTGGTTAGAACAAAAAAAAAAAAAAAGAAAAAGAAAAAAGAAAACTCACTTGTCACATTTTGCAAACTGATACATAGTTAAGTGTAACATATACTTGAACCACATGAATGATCCTGTTCAAAGTTGCTGCCATGTAAAGCAATCATACTTTAGGATGATGTCAGATGTCACTCACAGAAAAGACCTTTTTGAACCATCAAACAAAGAAAGGTCATAAAATAAAATGGAGAAAATAAGCATTTACAAATAATATGTCGTTTATTCTTTTGGCTTTAAAATTATATTACCATATGAGCGGACAGTAGTCACTTCTTGCATGCAGTTCACTAAAACACTACAAGCGCAATGAGAGATGGCTACTGATTGCTTCATGGTTTGTATCTACAGATATGGGGACCATACATGTGTTTCATCATGTGTTACAGTGCAGAAAGGGGGAAAAAAAAGTGTTCTAGAAAAAATGTAAATCAAATCCGAAGACTGGAAAAATGCACTCATATCTAGAGTAAAAATGTTATTTATAATCAGTGGAACATCAGCAACCTGCAGACCCCAGTTGCACACAAACAAGCGCTTGCTCACATAGAGACAGACGCTTACATTCTTGCACTCCCCCTTTCTTACAAATATACACATAGACAAACACAGACACACTTGAATTTTGTCCCTCACACACACTTGCATGTATGACAGCCACATGTGGTATTACATAGCAGTGGGGATAAAAAGTGCTCTTACATCAAATGTAAGTGAGATGCATACTGTGGGTCCAAATAGCTATATTATTTACAAACCAAACCACTACATTAAACCACTCGCTTCTCAATTAAAACCAAGAACAACATGAATGTGATATTATAACCTTTAAATGTGATATATTGTCATGTTCTAGTTTAAGAGCAGTTAGAAAGACTGACATTTTCTTTTTTGTGTATTTCTTAAGATATTTTCTTTACAAGAGATGTGAGGAGGAGGTGAGGGAGGATAAAGGGGAGGACAACAAATGCATTAAAGGAGACACTGCAATTCGACAGCGGATGGACAAGTAGATGAGTGTCACCTTAAGAAAAAAAATTGGATATTTTGGAAAAGACGCTGCAAGTTAAGTGAAGAGATTGATACCACCCTCTTATCTTTACATTGGCTAACTGTGGAACCCCAGCCTGGAGTCCCCTAGCTTAGCTCGACATGGAAAACATCTAGCCTGGTTCACTACAAAGCTCAGAACCAACAATTTTAAACCCACTTTTAATTTGTTTAATCCACAGAAATAACTCGTTCCACAGAACTAGAAATCCACGCACCAGTAAGGACTTACAGCAGAGTAACACCACAAATCTGTGTTAGGCACATTTTTAATTTGTAGTGGTAAGCTAATGTGCGTAAAGCTACCAATGATACCTTTGCTTTAAGCTAACATCGCCATAAACTGGACTGAATGACCTTATCAAGCAGATAAACTAATATACCTACAGCTACAGCTAATACTTTAGCAGTAAGGTAATGTTGCTATGAATAGGCTCTATAGTATGTCTTATGGAAGATTTAGACACTTTGTCAGGAGGACATTATAAAACATTGTATGGAAATAAATTGTTATATTTACACAGTGCCAGTTTTGGGGTATCTCAGTTGATAGAAACACAATGTGTCACTTTTACGTGCATCTCGGTTTCTGTATAGAGTGGTCCAGGCCAGCTGTATTGCCCATGCTTCTAGCCTTAGCATTACGCTAAGCTAACAGTCTTCTTGCTCTGGCTGCATAATGGACATGAGGGTGGTATCAAACTTCTCAGCTGCATCTTGGCAATAAAGCACATTTCCCAAAATGTGAAAGTTTCTTTAAATATGTTTCATTCCTTCAGCTTGCATACATTCAGCTTCTCTGTATTTACAGACTTGTATTTTCTAGTGAAACGGGGAGTTGACAGTCCAGATAGAAGCACAATACAGATTTGAACAATCACTGATGCCACACCAGTGAATACAATGTATTTGTCCATTGTACTTCAGTGGTATGTTTGTTGATTTCATATACTGTATGAACCAATAGCATTCTGGCACTGACCCTGCACTGTACGAGTTTCAGATGGTTATAGTAGTTTCCAGCATTGACTTTGTCTGCCCTTGGTAATTTTACAACAGTGAAAGCAGTGAACACATTCTCACGATAATGACACAAAAAAGTAGAAAACATTCTTTCTCATAGAAAAAGAAACCTTGTAACCAAAAAAATGACAAAAAAAAACTAAGCAAAGTACTCGTGATACAGCAATTTTTAAATTCAAGACACTGGATTTATAGTAGCAGCAGCACTAGCTACAGACAAATTAATAGTACACTCAAGTGTGTCAGATAGTAACAACAACCAATAGGAAAATCACAAGCGTTTTGCAGAGAGGCTTGTCCATGTTCCACTCAATCTCTGGCAGTGTCTGCTGGATCATTTGTTTCCATATTTTCCCTCTGAGAAGACCACATGTAATCATTTATGACATAGCCACACTCCAACCCTAGGCCTATCTGGCACAGTGTTCCTCAACTCATAACAATCAACACACAGGTGAACATCTATCTGTAAGCTGTAAACAAAATTCCCTCATGTCTCTGATGCATTTTTATTTTTTGTTCCTTTTAAAAAAAAAAAATCTATTTCTTTCGGTCTTTCAAGTCTTTCCCTTTGTTTTCTTTTTCCCTATTTTCTTTCTCGTATTTGTCCTTGTCCGATTTTGTGACACAGTTGTAGGAAGGTGGTGAGGCTGTGGAGGGGGTCATGTCTGTTTTGTCTGAGGTGGAGTTCTCATTAAACTTGCTGATGACCATCACATCCTTGTCAGGGTCGCGGATGCCGTCTTTCAGCTGCTCCTTGTAGAGGGCAGAGGCCTTCTTCATGGCCTGACGGATCATGTAGTGGCGGAAGGCTCTCTGGATGACTATGGCCGACATCTCCTCCTGCTTGCGGCGGAGGGTGGTAGTGATGGGCTCATAAGATACCTTAGAGGGGTTAGAAGCCATGAAGCGCTCCTCCATCTGCCCACGTAACATGTCCATCTCGCCACCTTCACCCAGCACTCGCTTGGTGAAGGCGAACAGGATGTCAAGGCAATGGATGCGCTCACCACTCACCATGGGTAGGTCCATGGAGATAAGCGAGATCATATTAGGTTTGGGAATCCGCAGCGGTGGATCTAGAACATCTGCAAAGTCAGAAAGCTTGCTGTATTCCACAAACTGAGTGGCATCTGGATCAAAACGCTCCCACACTTCATAAAACATCTCAAAGTCGTCCTCACTCAACGGTTCTGCGCTCTCCTCTGTGGCCACGCTGAAGTTCTCAAGGATAACGGCAATGTACATATTGACCACAATGAGGAAGCAGATGATGATGTAGCTCACAAAGAAGAAGATGCCCACTGATGGGTTACCACAGTTGCCTTTGTAGGAGTTACCCGGGTGCTCCATCTGGCTGTTGCAGTCAGGCTCCCTCTTGTTCAGTATGGGCGCCAGCAGCCCATCCCACCCAGCTGAGGTGGTAATCTGAAACAAACAGATCATACTGTTCCCAAAGGTCTCAAAATTAAACATGTCATCGATTCCTGCCTCCCGCTTGACATAGGCAAAGTTGGACATGCCAAAGATGGCGTAGATGAACATGACCAGAAAGAGGAGGAGGCCGATGTTGAACAGGGCAGGCAGTGACATCATCAAGGCAAAGAGAAGCGTCCGGATGCCTTTGGCACCTTTAATAAGCCGAAGGATGCGGCCTATCCTGGCCAGACGGATCACTCGGAACAGCGTGGGTGACACAAAGTACTTTTCAATAAGTTCAGATAAAAACATACCTGCAAAAATAAAAAACATTACATTAAGCACACAGTTTAAATCAAAAACAAGAAGAAAACTGAGACCCAGTAAAACATCTCCTTACCTACAATGGACAGGATCACCACCACAAAGTCAAATATATTCCAACCAATGGTGAAATAATAGTGACGCAGAGAGATCAGCTTGAGCACACACTCCCCCGTAAAGAGTATGATAAAGACCATGTTGATCCAGTAGAGAATGTTGCCCATCTCTATTGTCTGGTCATCTGTCTCCACCATCATGGTCACCATGTTGAGGCAGATGAGGATCATAATCACAATGTCAAAGGCCTGTTTTGTAATGCAGTCAAACACACAGCCTTGAAATGCATTCTATGGAGAAAGGAGAACAAGGAAGAGGGAAGCATTAGTCATTGACACCTCTCCCTGTAGTCAGTTCATAAGAATTAACACAGCAGAGCACGCAGTCTTGTCATGTAGTCTTACTGCTGGCCGAGGTATTGGTTTTTGTGGTTTCTTGGAACCTAGCTTCTTCATAGCATTGTAGTATTTCTTCTGTTCTTCTGTCATGAAGATGTCCTGACCTCCAAAGTAAAGGGAGCACAACAAAACGTGGTTATAACCATGTATCAACTCTTACATGTTGGGAAACAGAGAACCACACACTGTATGGTCGAGTACACTTCATGAGGTGTTTTCTGCTAAAAGGTGATCACAGGACATAAAGAGCTAGCTCCCTCTCATCAGTCTCCATCAGGATCATTTCTCATGTTTTTATTTGATCTGAGGTGACATTTGATTTATTTTGTTTTCCATATAGACTTTGTGGATCAAGCTTCCATCAAAATTAAACGGCATTATAACATTTATTAGAAAAGGTCATAGCAGTCAAAAAGTGCATAAATTATTTCCAAAAATGTAGTAAGTGAATTCCTTTCTCAGTATCATGAACTGGACACACATCCCACTTCAGTGCAGCTCACTGAGTGTGAGATGTGTGTCTGGAGGGAGGACTGGTGTCAACACTAAACCATCTGTGTGACACTGTGGCTGTGGGGCTACTGAGCCACACCAACTGATAGCGTCTCAGTCAGCCAGTCGAGCCAGACCTGCCATGCAGCAAACACTTACCAGACCCCCCACCCCAGGGCATTGCCAGTCCTACACTCCAAAGAATGCTCACATCACCCCGGTCCTTCAGTCCCTTCACTGGCTTACGGTACAGTTCAGAATAGACTTTAAAATTTTACTGTTTGTGTTCAAGGCCATTAATGGTCTTGCGCCAGTCTATTTGACCAATCTTTTAACCATATATACCCTGGTTAGAGCGCTGCGTTCCTCTGAGCACGTGTCCCTGGTTGTCCTGCGGGCAAGATATAAAAAGTGGGGAGATCGTTCTTTCGCCGTGTATGCCCCCAAGCTCTGGAACGCCCTGCCCCCTGAGGTTTGATCTATTATGGAGCTAATGGTTTTTAAGTCTAAATTAAAGGCACATTTATTCAGACGGGCTTTTGGCATCTAATATTTAGCAGCGATGCTATATGGGGCCTACAGGCCATCCTCATTTTATATTTCGTAATCTTACTCTCTCTGTATTTGGACTCATTTTTACTTTACAGGAATTTTATAGTTCTTATGTATTGTTGTTTTCAATTTGAGCAATGTTAACTTTTCTTTTGTTTGTTTGTGTATTTTTGGCAAGCCCTGATTATTGTAAGCACTTTGAGCTCCTTTCAGTGTTGTAAAGCACTATATAAACAAATTATTATTATTATTACTACTTGTTAGCGCTTGGCTGAATGGAGAGCACATTTCTAGACTACATTCACTGTATGTGTATATGTGTGTGCAGGCAGGGTGTTTCTCAGTGACTCATGCTCCCTCAGTAATCCTTGGCAGTGGTAGGTCCTGACCGTGCTACAGATAATCATTATTCTGTAGCTCACTTCTTTCTTTAACACAGCTGTGGGTCTGCTTTGGCTAAATCTGCACTTCAGTTGCTGTCTGTAGTTGGCACCCTGCCACAGAAAAAAGAAAAATGTCTATAGAACATTCCAGAATGTAATAGAGACTAAATGTAACTCATCTTTTTCTTCTGCTGGTTGAAGTTGTCAATGATGACACCAATAAAAAGGTTTAGGGTGAAGAAGGAGCCAAAGATGATGAAGATGACAAAGTACAGGTACATGTACAAATTCACTTCATATTCAGGCTGGTCTTCCACCTAGAACAAGAAAAACAAAATTAAAAGTGTTACTGGCTTCCATGACTTGTGAGTGCCCATCTCCTGTTTTGGAGAACTGGACGTGCAGTCAGACATAAAATGCAGACTTACATTTCGAGAGTCCACAGCTGCATACATGATGTCCATCCAACCTTTAAATGTTGCCTAAGAGCACAAGAGACAAGAGTCAGTGTGTCAGGTGGGGTAGGGGTTCATGACAAACAGCCGTCATCATCTGTTTCTCCCAGCAGTCAAGCTCCACTGCATTATAAAATAACAGAAGACGCATTTGGTGGCTAGAATTAGCAGAAAACATAGCTCATATAGTATATTTGATAATGGGAGGCATCACTACAGCTGCAAGAATTATTTATGCAAATGAAAAAATGTGACATGCATTGGCATTTTTAGGTAAACCTATAATATAGCTGTAAATGAATACAGTGTCTTCACAAGGTCCTGTTCTGGGATCAATTTGTACTGTTTGGACCAAAGTACGTTCATCTCTAGGAGACGTCTCCTTCCTGAGTGGTAGGATGGCTGCGTTGTCTTATGGTGTTTATACTTCTGTAGTATTGTTTGTACAGATGAGCGTGGCACCTTCAGGTATTTGGAAACTGCTCCCAAGGATGAACCAGACTTGTGGAGGTTCCCAATTTTTTTCTGAGGTCTTGGTCGATTTCTTTTGATTTTCCCATAATGTCAAACAAAGACATACTGAGTTTGAAGGGAGACCTTAAAATACAATCACAGCTGCACCTCCTATTGACTCAAATGATGTCAATTAGCCTATCAGAAGCTTCTAAAGCCATGACATTTCCTGGACTTTTCCAAACTGTTTAAAGGCACAGTCAACCAAGTTTATGTACAGTTCTGACCCCCTGGAATTGGGATATAGTGAATAAATTTATCTGTAAACAACGTTTGGAAAAACTGCTTGTGTCATGCAAAAAGTACACGTCCTAGCTGACTTGCCAAAAAGAAGAGTTTCTTAACATGACATCTGTGGTGTAGTAAAAAAAAAAAGTTTTAATGACTTCATCCTAAGTGTATGTAAACGTCTGACTTCAACTGTACATATGCATACATTGACATTTTGCTTTAATCTTCATAATGCCATCTGTATCACTGACATTTAACTCACCACTTGTAACAGAGCCAGATAGCCAGCCCCGACATTGTCAAAGTTGATTTTGACGTTCTTCCAGTGGGCAGTGTCATTGGCCAATTTCAGGCATTCACTCTTGTTGTTGACAATATTGATGGGGAAGTTCTCTCCAGTGGTGTTGACGCAGTGATAGTACTTCCCTGCAAACAGGTTGACCCCCATTATGCTGAAGATAAGCCAGAAGATGAGACAGACCAACAGCACGTTCATGATGGAGGGGATGGCCCCCAGCAGAGCGTTCACCACAACCTGGAGGGTTTGAGACACATGGACAAACTCAGTACGTGCCTGTCACAAAAGCATAGCTCTCTGCTTGCCAAAATAAAAAGGCAGCATCTAATCACTTAATTGTTCTTATATAGGACACATGGAGCCGATGCTTTCAGAACAAGAGACAAAACTAATTTAAAAGCTTACTATGTTACTCAAAATATTTGTATTTACTGTGTAATGTCTGTACACATATAAATACAGAATATCTACTAAAAGAATTTAACATGACAGTTGGAAAGAAGATGGATAGGTGAAAAAGTTCACATTTGATAGAAAGCAAAACAGAAAAAACCTTAGAGAGGCAGGATGAAGTCACAACATTTTGTTTGACTGTAAATGAAAAAGACACAAAACAAAGAAAAAATTACAGGTCAAAGGCACCACACAAACAATGTCAGAACACAATGCCTGAGAACAACTATATACACAATAATCAATCAACACAATATAAAGAAAGTCATGCAGACAGAAGTAGTACAGTGTTGAATTGAACAGAAACAGTTGTAATAACCATGCATGTCTTACAGTCAGGTTCCAATAAGAAGCTAAAACCTTTCAACATCATTTCTATATGTAAATGATTCTAAAATGTAACTGACACAAAATGTTAACTAATGTTACATTCTACAGAGGTCAAGCAGGCACTGAGAAAGTGTCTCTATGCTGTCGCTTTACACAATTAAAATAAAAATAATGTGATGTAAAATCATACTGTGTGAAATCATGGGCAAGGTGAAAGCAGCTAGAAGTGGTCGGGCCTCATCAGGTTAATATTCAGATAAATTCTTTAAGAAACACACTTGTAGGCTTTATGCCAAGAGTTGGATCTAAAAGACTGACACTACTCTCATGTCTATATGCTAACTATTAAGCTACAGTTAGCTTAGCATAAAGTGTAGAGGCAAGAGCAAACAGCTAGCTGGGCTCTAACCAGAGGTTTAAAAAAGAACAACTATCTTTAGCCTCAGCTACCAGCCTTCATTCTCTGGCTTCAAACTGTGTGTACAGGCATGAGAGCTGTAACAATTTTCTGATTTAACTTTAAGCAAGAAAGAGAATAAGTAACATTTTAGAATTAACTGAACTTTTTATTTTGAACCATTAAAAAACTTTAATGTTAAACATTAGTGGTTTAAAATGAAAAAACAAACAAACTGTACATTACATACATACATACATACATACATACATACATTCATGCTTTCAACTTGACTATGAATAACAAAATACAAGAGGTTTTCATGTCCCTGTTATTCCTCATGTCCTTACCCTCATGCCCTCAAATCGAGACAAGGCTCTCAGGGGCCGAAGGGCTCGCAATGTCCTCAGAGATTTGATGGCACTGAGCTCTGCATAGCCCAGAGCATTGGCTACCAGGCTGATTAAGGACACCTGAGGAGGAGAAAACATCAGAGACAAGGAGGGTGAAAGGTAAGAAATCAAAAGGCTTCATTTGTAATAAAGCTCAGTGAGTGTTAAAACATTTAATAAGCCTGATAAAGTATCAATAGTGTTTAATAATACAGTAGCTCCAAAAACTGTAACTTTCAGATAAAAAGAAAATGACAAGAAAGTTTATTAGGTCTATGTAGCTCAAACTATTGCAGTATAATCCAGCAATCCTCCTTCATGAAGATTATCATTTCTAGTTTTTGCTCAAATTGGACTTTGTCTTCATGGCAAAAAAGCAAGTTTTCACTCTGTATGCTAAATATGAATCTACAGCCAGGAGAGCATTATCTTAATACAGAACAAATTATAGACTGGACACAGGTGAAGACAGCTAGCCTGGATCTGCCAAAATAATAGGGTCAAAATAATCCCGACATCAAAGTTCAAAGTGTTTATTTTGTCATATGCACAGTTAGGAAACGTGTTTCCCTGTACAATGAAATTCTTACTTTGCTGTCCACATGAATGCCACAAAATACAAATGAAATATAAATAACACAAAATCTAAGACACTTTAAGCAGCACAGATGCAGCAATATAGTAGGAAAAAAAATATAAGAATATAATGTATGCTGCATGGGAGCAGCATGTGCAGCAGTCAACAGTCATCATGCAATTATGCATGTGCAAACAGAATGTAAACAGTACATGACATATTTCCTGGTAATAAA